TCTCTCTCTCTCTCTCTCTCTCTCTCTCTCTCTCTCTCTCTCTCTCTCTCTCTCTCTCTATCTTTCTATCTATCTATCTCTCTCTCCAATCAGGAGAGAGACTTAGTATGTTTTCGAATCCGTCGTCTGAAATGTCCACTTGACCATTTGTGCTATTCTAGCGTGGCGAGATTTCGTTCGCTATCGCGGTGTACCCAGGTGTTCCGATCTCGATTAGTAGCGGAAAATACCTTTGAATCGCGCACTAAAAAGTTACACGAGCCCATCCTCGAGTTCGTCTTGCATGAATCACCAAAGGAAGTGACTCGGCCAGATCGAGCGTCCAGGTGTCCCGTTCGGTTGCACTCATCTCGTACACTCGAGTCCACGAATTCCACGCGCGGGAAAATAAACCTTATCGCACACGGATAAAACGTGGCCTTAATATTATCGGTATACTCTCGGTTCGGACGTACCGAAAAGACCTCCCGCGCCCTAAGAGATATCTACGGGATTATCGGCGTTCGGCATCGTTTTCTCGAGTTATTTCCACGTAGTTGATAAGCGAGGTTTATTACTAGCGAATGTCAACTTATGAGAAATTGCCTCGCATTTATTTCATCGACTGCGACTATCTTTGATAAACGCCACGTGTCGAATGAATGAAGCTTACAGTTGTGTAACTCAATATAAGTACGTGGAACATTCCGCATCGTCATATCGCTCTTCGATTTTTTTAACAAAAATGTCGTACTTTTGTGTTGTGGAGATTTCCCACATTTGAGATCTTATATCATCATCAATGAACTTAGATCCTGAACTCTGGATGATGATATTTGGACTCGAAATCCTAGAATCTTTTGAATCCTGAATTTTGTTCTTGGACATGTAAATGAAAAAAGATATACAAATACGAAATGAAATTTTGGATTTCAAACGTGAAATTTCCGAGAGTATTCAACACTAATATATAAAGCCGCAGAAAAATAAACAATAAATTTCCTCATCAGGCAGATACAATTGCGAAACTGCGACGATACACCCGTCAGCATGAGATCGTATCGCTCGCGATCTGAAATATATCACTTTTTGTTAGCGATTATCGGCGTGTCGAGGCGAGTGTGTCTTCGGTAACTCGCGGCCGTGCATTTTGTCGCGAGCGCGATTTGTCGCGGTACGCAAAGAAAGAGGAGGGACCTATAATTAGCGCGCTCTCGCCCTGTCCTCGAACCCGGTTCTCGAAATCGGCCCGAGAGATTGCGACCGGTCGGTGGAAACCGCGGCGGCGCATCTCCGCGCAGCTGCTGCACATGCAGCGCGCCGAGAACGTAGCACGGCCGAAGTGAGCCCGTAATCGTGCGCTTCCTGCTGCGTCGTATCCGTCGTGAGATAGCCTGCGTAGGTACTCACCTCTGCGTGCGCACACGCACGTCGTACACTCTCACGAATAAATTTGCGAAGCGCCGCGCGGAAAATCGTGGGGAGAGCCGCGGCTCGAGTCAATCCCGGAATGCATAAACGCGGCTCAATCCTAATCCGGCCGTGCGTCCTTGGATTAACGAGCCCTGCTTCCGCAGTTCCGCAGTTCAGAGGCTAGCTTGCAATAAGAAATACAAGTTTTTCTCAAAATAAAATTTAAAAAGTATTAAAAATACGAGCGCAGTAGATATAAGTGGTTGCGAGAATTCGATTTTACCCGTTTGTGTTATTTTTGTATTTTTCAAGAGAAATTGATTCGTAGCGATTTATATCAATTTACGCGTGTCGCGTCGCTAGAGTACAGCTGTACGCAGGCACGTACGTAAACACGCTGCCGCTCCGATCAAAACACGGTTATCTCGATTGTAGACCGGTCGAAACGATAAATGAGATCAGATAAGTAGGAACAATTCTCTCCCGTTATGACGCAATCAAATTCGTCGGGATGGACGCGACAACAGGGGGACTCTCGAGTAGCGCTTCAACAGCGCGGGAGAGAAACCGAGCCGATCAACTGCCTTCAATCAAGATATCTTTTCAAGGCGCGTATATTCTTGTAACAAATGTCGAATGCCACTCGCCAACAGCGAAGCGATCTCGAATCGACAGAGAGAATCAATTATACAGCGATTTCTCTAATCTTTCATTTCCATTTTTGTACCTGGGCGAGATCCGGTTTCTTGAAAAAAAAAAAAAAGAAGAAAGGAAATACAAAATCGTATCTTCGTCACGCCATTAACGCTGGGACCGGTCGATTTTCGTATGTTCGAAGGACACGGGCGATTATTTATCGCAATCGTTCCGAATCGGCAGCGAGAATCGGCACTGGATCTCCTTCGGCGTGACGGATTTTTTCGACTGCGCCTCTCCGAAGGCAGAAAGGAAGAAAGATGTGCGGAGAGAAAGAGGAGCGGAGAAAGAGAAAGAGGGAGAGAAGGAGGAAGACATGGGAGTGCCCCATCGAAAATTATTCCGTGGAGTGTATCTTGGCATCCGATGATTGTGCGCCAGCGGCTAGAGTGGTCTCTCTCGGAGTGCACGTGCGCCTTGCACGTGTTAGCTGTGGGGCGACTCTCCCGAGCCCCGACTGCCTACAAGACTGTAACATCGTAGCAGGAAGGGGGCCGGGCAGGAGGGGGGTTCGGCGAGGAGAAGAGGTGGATACGGCAGCTATAACTATACGCTCACACTTATCTCGTCGCGCGCTCTTTCTCCCGTTTTAACGCTTTCGTCTCGCTTCTTCTTTCTCATTATCCGTCCGCCTGCCTACGTTCGTTAAATGGAGTACCGCGACGCTAATTGCGAATACAGCCGGACCTCGATACCGCGCACCTCCAAGGGGAGAAGCCACCCTCGTCGTGGGCGGCTTGGACATGCGAGATACAAGGCACGACGGCGGGGATACGAGAACAATCGGGATGATTGCATTGGAGGCGAATGATTTTTGTACATGTGCGCGGGAAAAACGCTTGGGGTTGGATTAACCAAATTTCATGGTGAAATATGAACAAGCCAGGAAATTGTCGGTCGGTTGGAGTCGCCCGATTTCTATTCAAGTTCACCAGAGATCTGGTTAGCTCGAAGAGAATTCCGGTGACCCCGACTATGAATTTCTAGTTCGTTTATATCTCATCAGGAATTTAGTTAATTCGACCAAACTTCTTTTCCCGTGTGTATGTGTGTGCGTTTATGTTGAGGCAAAATTATTTCTGCTATTCTTTTGGCTCTTGCGATAATGACACACATCGGTGCACTATTAGTCGCAAGTGGAACTGATAACGTGGCTCGAGTGTTGTTGTTGAAACCAATTCGATTGTAAATCACAGCCGACGGAGACAAGCGAGAATCGCGGCAAAAACAAACGGGTAAACAAGATTTGGTTGAATTGATTAAAGGTCTCGTGAAATATGAATTCCGGTTGGAATTATCGGAATTCTGTTAAAATTAACACGACTCTGGTTAACCAAACAAGATTTGCTAATCAGAACTTGGAACTGTTTACGCTGAACAAATGTAAGTTCTGGTTAAGCAGAAATCTTGCTTGGTTAACCAGAATATTGTTGAACAAAATTCTGATAACCCTTACAGAAATATCATACTAAGAATCATTGATAATTACTTATTTTCAGTATTAAAAATACTGGATAATAAGTAATTATCAATGATTCTTAGTATGATATTTCTATAAGGGAACTTCAAGCGGAACTTTGGTTCGTTCATATTTCACCAGACATTCGGCTAATACAACCAAATTTTTTCCCTGTGTAGATGCACGGG